CCTAGCAGAGGGCACTGTGCCCATCTGAGGGTGCCAGTGGTGCTGGGTGTACGCACAGGCAGAGCCAGGGGGCCTGAGCACAGCTGCCACCCCACGTCCCCAGCCACCACTGAGACCACGTTACGCTTGGCACTGGGGAGGGAAACACCTCTGTCAAAGGCATTAATGGCAGCTCCTCGTGGTCCCCAGACCAAACCTACCAGCCCCACGGTGCAAATAAAGGATGTTCCACCCTTCTTTGGGGTGAAGTGACTTGGTTTGGGAAAGCGGACAGAGACCAGCATCCTGCAGGTCCCTGGCCCTGTGAGCAGCAGTGCCTGGAGGAGGACAGAGGTGAAGGACCACCTCCAGGCATTTTCTTCCCACATGGTTGGCATCACTCAAACGCCTCCATGGCTTCAGCTGGTCCCATCCTGGAGCTCTGCGGAGTGGAGGGATGACACCATTGAGCAGCAAGAGCCAGTGCAGGGCAGTGGTGAGCTGAGTGCTCCTACCAGATCCACTGGGACTGGGGGGACTGGTGACCCTTTAGGTTGCCCAAAAGCACATCCTGAGGACAGGGGGTGAGACTGATGACGTGGGCCAGACAGGCCCAGTCTGTTCCATGTGGCTATGGGGGCCAACCAGCAAGCTGAGCACCCACACAACAGAGGATGGTGCCCTCAGGGTGATTGGCTCCATCCTATGAGCTGCTCTCAGGAGGCTAGCGAGGGGGACATGTCCAGGGCCCATCAGGGAGCAGGACTGGAGACAGGCAGGCACCAAAGAGCTGAAGGAGTCCAGTCCTGGCTTCCCTGCCCGTCGCCTTCCCATTACTGGGGTTGATGCCAGATGGATGTGGTCTGTGCTGGCAGCTGGGGCAGAGCCTGCACCACCCGAGGACATAGGGAGCCTCTGGCTTGGCAGGAAAAGCATTTCCCAGCCTGAAGCAGGTGTAGTAGTACAGAACTCCAGCTCTACAGGTCAGTATTGATGTCAGGGTGGAGTGTGAAGGGAAACTGAGGCACACTGAGGTTCACTTTGAGGAACCCAGGCTATGTCCTGGGAGAGGTTGCCCATCTGCTCTGGGACAGCCAAGACATGCCAGCACTGGCAGCTGACAGCTAATGAAGTCAGAGCTGTGTGCCCAGCACAAAGTCCAGCACCTCCCTCTGCTCTGGGGTCTGGATGCCTTCACCTCAACAGCACCATCCCTTCACCCTGTCTGCTTGGCTCCTCCTGAAGCTCTCAAGGTACCAGCGCCATGTGCCATGTGCACACAGGGTTCTGCATCCTGGGAGAGCTGGCTTGGCATTGGCTGGGAGGAAGAAGTTCCAAGGTACCTCATGCTGGTACAGCATCATGGGATGGGCAGGATACGGCTTGCCTGTTGTCCTGCAAGGATGTGAGGAGCTAGTATTTCTCTTCCTTTTGTCCCTGGGGGCAATATTTGCAAGGACAGTTGGGTTGGGGAGGATTTCCCACCCTGAGCTGCCATTTTTTCTGAGGCCAGACCCTTCACCCCTGAAGCTCCAGGCAGAGAAGGGCAGTGACCATGCTGTGGTGTTGCTGGCCATATCTTCCTACTCCCACCCTTGTGCCAGCTATGTCACAAGCCAGATCTGTCCCTCAATTCAGCTAGAAATCAGCTAGAAAGACCCCCCCCAGATGCGAGCTTGGGGCAAATCAGCCCCTGTGCAGCCCCAGATCCCAGGAGAGACGGCAGAGGCAGTGCCCCATCACTGCAGTATGTCCCCATCATTGTGTCACCCTTTGTGTCTGGAGTCCCTGGTAAGCACCAGGCAGGGCTAGGCAGCGAGTAGCCATGGACACAGGCTGTGCAGGCAGGGCGGCAGAAGAAGGAGAGGAGAGGAGGTTCCATGGAGTCACACATCAGGAACACTTTAATGACCTGCCCAGCTCTTGCCAAGACACTGATGGCACAGCAATGTCCTGTCCTGCATCAGCATCCTGCAGACCCAGCCCAAAAATCCTCCTGCAGATGGACAGAGCCCACCAGGACCTCAGACAGAGAGGGAGAGCTGTGCGTTGTTGCTCCAGTAACACCCTGAAAGCTCCTGAAGGGATCATGCCCATGGGGGTCCATCAGCCACCACTCACAAGCGAGTGGCAGAAATGGTCTTTTGCGAGGGTGCTGTGCTGAGCCCTGGGGAGCTGGCTGGTGATGCCAAGGTGTCCTAGGGGGCAGAGCCAGTGTTTGTGCTCTGCAGTGTTTCTCTTCCCTTTAGCAGCTCCACAGCTGCCCTTTCCACTTCATCCATCTCCAGCTGGCTGCTGGCCACCATCTCGTCCCTGGTCACTGCTACAAAGGCTGGGTTGCTGGCCAGAGCCGCAAGGCCCCCCGAGGTCAGAGCCTGCAGCAGAAGACGGGGTTACAGTCCAATGTGTTCTCATTCTGTAGAAGCGTCCCTGCTGCAGGCAGCCCATCCTTGCCTCTACGGCACATACCTGCCACATCCTCATGGCTAAGCTTTGTCCTCCAACCTCCCAACTTGGAATGAACTTGGCATCCCTGCCAGATCCTTTCACGACCTGGCAGCCCTGCCTTTCCCTCTGCCAGGCTGTACCCCTGCCTTACCTCCTGAACGAGGAAGGTGATGGCTGGAGTGGATGTGCTTCGGTCACTGCTTTTGTCCCACTGGTACCCTGAGATGGATGCTGTTCCTGTCACAGTGCCATCCTCTCTGTGCAGCTGGGCAAGAGGAGCAAAGAGTTGCAGCCATGGGCTTAGGCAATGCCCATGGAAAATCTCACATGTTAATGTAGGAGCTGCAGGTACTGTCCCCAGCCTGGACCCACACTCCCATCCTGCTGGAGGTTCCTGGGTCCAGGGCACCACCCACAATGGAACCACCAAGGCCACATGGGCAGAGAGAGCTGGGAACCAGTCCTTATCTCCTGCCCTGGCACTTGAAGGCAACAAGGCACTGGGGCCAGCCAAGGGCAGCCAGGGGAGTGTGGCAGTAAATCCAACACACCCCTTTTTTCTGCCCTGGCTCTGGAGGCAGACAGGGAGCCAGAGAGATGCTGCTTCAAGCTGTCCCAGCTTGGATAAGCACCCGTGCCTGGTGCAGCAGTGGGATGGGGGCCCAGCTCCTTCCCCGCACTGATCAGAAAGGAAAGCTCCAGCAAAGCTGGCTTCATGGCAGGGAGGCCTAGGGACTGGCTCCTCCCCAGCATGGCTGTGACAATCTTTCCCAGGAGGAGAGGGAGACTCGCCCATGTCCTCCACATAGCTGCCTCTGGACATACATTGCCCCTTTACCTCCTGGAGAAGGTGCAGCCCCAGTGCTGGGTGACCCCCAGAGATGGCCCCTTGCCTCCTGCTTGGCCTTCGTTGCAGCCTCTCCATGTGTATGGGGTGGTTGCATTCTGTAAGAGGGAAAGGTGGGGATGTTAGATGGGCACAAGAGCAAGGACCCAAGTGTTTTGGAGTTCAGGACCAACCAAAATCCCAGCGCCCACCCGCTGCCCCATATTGGCTCCTCAGTCATGACTGGGAAGGAGAATTCCCTATTAGTGCAAATGAACAATCCTGTGGCTCTGCTGCCCTGGGATGGCCAGTCCTCCCCCAGCCCGAGGCACTGACTCTATGCTACATCACCCTGAAGGGTGGGAAGGTGGAAAGAGGGTCTCATGGATCTCCCCAAACAGGGCCAGCTGTCCTTGGGTCTCTCAGCTAACCTCCAAGTTGTTGTCCTCCTCCTGCCTGCCAACATCAGCAGCTCCCCCCTACTCTGGCCCTTGACCTGGTCCAGATCCCCCAAAAGAAGAATGATGCTGAGACTCACCCCATGTTGGACACCTGGGTGCTGCTGCCACTGTCCTCCTCAGCATATCATCCTTGTACTCCATCCTGACAAGGGCAGGCAGGTGGGTCAGCCTGTGCAGGGACCATGTGCTAAGACCCACTCCACCCAGAGGTGCAGCCCTCCCCACTTTCTCGGCCCTGGAGGGGCAGACCAGGAAGGGCACCTGGGATGGATGAACAGGATGAAGACCTCAAGAAGTAGGATTAAGTACATCCTCTTACATTGGTAACCCTTGTCCCTTGTACCTGTGCCCATGCAAGTGCTGGTAGCCCCTGCCTGGGCCTTGGCACTCAAGAGATTGGCAGGGAAGGGGGAAGGCTTGTTCCTGCAATCCCTGGAGCCCTGCTGTCCACCTCAATCTCACAGCAGCAAGATGAAGGAGTGATGGGAAGGACAAGAAGGGCATGTAGGGAGTCACATGTGCTGACATATGGAGCCACACACCAGCCCTGGAGCTACCATTCATGTTCTGGGGACATCTCTGGGAATGCCAGGCTGGGGTCTGGGGACAAGCAAGGGGTGTCTGCCCTCCCTGTCCCCTTGCCTGGGTCCTGGCTCACACCCCAAGGGCTGAATTTCTGCACAAAGCTCCTGTGTCCATGGGCCCTCTTCCATGGCCAGCACTCGATTCCTCTCCCAGACTGCAGGGACCTCGCTGCTGCAACTCAGCCACTTCTCCAGACCTTACCCATCCATGGAGAACCCCTGGGCAGGACCAGTGTGCAGCCAGCTGCCTGCACTGCCCTGCTGGGAGTTGCTGGGCACGGCTCATCTCTGCTCTCTCTCGCCTGCCCACGTAAGGCTCACAAGCCCTTACCCCTCCAGCCAGTCACTGCTGTTGGCATTGTTGACGTTGGTGTTGCCTTCCTGAGGGAAGTCATCGAGGAAGACGGGGGAATCGAGGTCTTCACTGCCCACCTCAGTGAACTGCAGGGGCCTTTGGCTGGCCACATGGGGCTGCAGGGGGCTGCTGGGCTCCAGGAAGCTGTCGACCTGGCCAAACAAGCCACCTGTCCTCTGCAACCAACAGGGAGGGTATGAGGGGAGGCCTGGAGCTCTGGATTGCCTTGGGGCCATTCCCATGGGAGGAGACATGTGGGGATGCCCATGGGAACAGCTGTGTCACTGTACATCTCTCTGCTCAGGCCTCACAGACTGCATGGTTTCAAAAGCCTCACTGCCTAGGTGGAGAAACTGAGGCACGGAGGGGTGATGGTCATGTAGCAGCAGTGGGATGAGAGCCAGGCCTGAGCATGACAAATCCTACCGCTTCTATGGGACAGCCTGACCTGGTGGCACCTCAGTACAGCAGGAGGTGCAACCCTGCAACACTACAGCTGCCCAGGCTGTCTCAAAGACTCCCAGGGAGTGGGAAGCAAATATGTTCCTGCTCTGGTAATGGAGTCATCTGAGCTGTCCTGCCTTAGCCTGGCAGAAGGTGTGACTGGGGCCCTCCAAATCTGTGGGTAAACATTCAGCACACCCCTGCCAGGCATGTGAGCAGGGTCCTTTTACATAGAGGAAACTGAGGTAGAAAGCAGGTTGCCCAGGATGACTCAACCAGGATGTCCTGATGCTCAAGGGAGAGGGAAGAAGTGATGATCCATCCTTGTGGTCCACACTGTCTTTCATGGTCAGGCTCACCTCTGTGGACTGTCCCCCACCAATACATCGGATGAGGGCTGAGCGGGACCACCACCACTTGGCATGCCCTCAGGGCTGTACTCACCCTGTATATCCCTTCCTCCATGGCAGCCTCCACCATTGCCCTTTCCAGCTCCTCCTCAGCAGTCAGGTCCCCAGAAATGGCCCGATGGATTTCAGGAGCAGCTTCTTCTTCAATGCTCCTCAGCCCAGCCTGATGGGGACAAGAAGGCATGGCTGGATGTGGCCTGGCCCCGCCAACCCTCTCACTTTGGGCTTTGGAGCAGGAAACATGATGAAGCCTGCTCACCTGGTAAACCATGCTTCCTTGCCAGGTCTCCTACCAGGGACAGGTCATGGGTTGCCCTGTAACTGGCTGGCTCTGTGCTTGGTGAAACAGCTTCTGGGCTATTGCTGTCCCACAAAAGGGTATATTAAGGGCAGACTGACAAAGGGTCGGACCGGTGATGCCCAAGGCATAGCTGTGCATTTGTCTCTGATCTGGACAGATCTCACCTGGGGTCTGGCTCTCTTCCTTGCCTTGCACCTTTGGGGCCTGGTCTTTTGTCTCTACAAGTAATTTCCTCTCTAGAAGGTCAGGAAAGGCTGGGGACATCCCAGCTGCTCTGGCCAGGCACATAAATCCTCTCCCATCCCACCCTGACAGCATCCTTCAGGGCTGCTGTGTAGGCTTCTCTGACTGCGGCGGTCCTGCTTGATCAGTCACATCCACCCCCCTCCACCTGATGTTGCACTAGGCAATGTGAGATGAGAGAGCACCAGACACACAGAACTATCTGCAACACTGCTAAGGTGAGGAAAGGGAGAAGGTCCTGGGAATGAAGAAGAGTAGGTGGATAAGGGCCTGTATGAGCAGCATTTGGCTCACACACTGGTCTGTGCTGGGTTTCCAGGTTTTAAAACTGCTTGGCGAGGCATCAGACCTTGCTGAGCCTTCTCTACAGCAAAAGTCAGCAGGGCAGAGAGCCTCCTTTGCTTCCAGAGTCACCTGCACCCTGGAGACTACTGTCACCCTTGGTGGTGGAGTGTTCTTGGCCAGTTCAGTGCTGGTTTACTTGGGACCACCTTATTTCCAGAGGCTGGGGCACAGGGTCCTGTGCTGGGGCACAGAGTGCTATGCTATGTGCCATGGCAGCTCTGTTTCGCTAAGTCACCCTGGACTTCCCTGAGGTGGGGGAAGCCTCTTCCCTGATTTGCAGAGCTCCCCACCACACGCTGCCTGCCCCAGGAAGGGTCACCCCTCTACTATCACCCATACACTACCAACCTGGATCTCCACAGGGTTCTTCTTGGGTCGGTACCCATAATACTCCTCCTGGCGCTTCATGAACTTCCTGAAATGCTCTTGGATGAGGAAAGTAGCATAGAATTTGCCCACAGTCACCTCATCATCTGGAGGAGAGGAAATCAACCTGACTATACTGCCTATCACAAGGCCCTGAGTTGTCAGAGCTGCTAAGACCCCAACCAGGTGTTGCTATGCCCCTCTGGGAAGTACCACTGGGGGACATACCTCCAATAGGTGGGATGACCTGGTCCAAAAGCTTCATACTCGTTCGCTTCCAGATTTTTTTGATGATGGCTCTGAGCTCCTCATTGGCCTGCTCAAAGCTACCTGAGAGAAAAGAGAGTGGTTCATTCCCAGGGGAATGTGAACATGAGTGAAGACAAAGCATGTGAAAACCTGGCCATACTCCTCCAGGGTGTGACAGCTCCTCTCCAGCCTTCCCACCCACAAAAATGAGCTTTGTAAGAATACGGCTTTGATTTTAGCAAAAAACCATAGAGTTTGTTTTTTTTTTTTAAAAAAACTATAGAGTGAGTCAGCCCTAGCAAAAGTGGGGGGGAATGTTAATGCCACTGTTTGTTCTGGTGATCCACAACCGATTTCAACCTTCCCTTTGGTGCTCTCGCAGGCTTTACCATTACTGCTCACCTGCAATCCTAGACTGTCCCTGTGCATGCTCCAAGTTTTCCTGTACTCCTCCCAGGGCTTCCCACACTGTGCTTGAGACCACATTCCCCATCTCAGCTTGATGGAAGGCACCTGTGCCATGCTGTTAGAAGATGCCAGCCCACCACTGCCCAGCCTCACCTCCTGCCAGAGCTGGCCCCAGCCCAGCCACAGAGCTGCTCGTGTCATACTGCCTAACGTGGCAACAAGCTGGTGTGCCATCTTCCCAAAGCAGGGCTTTGCCAACCATTCTGCTGGCAAGGAAGGGGGTGAAAACACCTCCTCCCCAGCACAGCTAAATTCAGAGGATCCATCCCTTTCCATTCCAGTCTGAGATTATAAACACACGAGGAAACGCAAAACTGGAGCAGGTGGTGCTGTGCTGGGGGGGTCAGGGAGATCAGACTACACTCAACAGTGCAGGAAGGCAGGCAGGGTGCCTTGCAGGGTGGTTGTTCATTGTGGAAGGGATGGGAACTGGGTCAGAACTGCTCCTGAGCTGTTCAGTTATGCAGCTGGGGTGGCATTGGTTCACTCTTCAGGGCTGCAGCACATGTGCCTGTAACTAATAATGTCCTCCAGGCTTAGCCTGAGCAGCCCCATGCGTGAGCCCATGGTCTCTGGCCCAAGGATATAATAGCATGAAGTGAAGGGTTGCACCAGCGGGTCTAGCCCTACAGGCAAGTGCCCAGAGTGGAGGAATGGTGTATAACCAGTACCCTTGCAGCACAAAGAGAGGGTTCCCCCATCAGGCTATAGAGGCAGACAGCAGCATCACTTACCTTCTGTTTTGATCTTGAGGGCTGTCCTCACCAGCGCAAAGAGGGTTGCATTGAAGGTGACAGTGCCATCGCTGTTCAGGGGCATGTTCATGCACACTAGACGCTGCACAGCAAACCAACAACTGTAACCCCAGGTGACAGCAGGCTAGCAGCTCCCTGCAAACACACAGCCTGTCCTGGCTGAAGTCACCCACATCGGCTGGGGAGAGGCTGTGCTTGGGACACTGAGCTGTGGGCCAAAGAGCCCTCCCAGCTCTGCACCATGGCTTGGCAGCACATGGCAAAGGTGCAGGGACATCACTCATCCTAACCAGACAACTAAACCAGACCAAGCTGCAGGGAAAGCCTGGCCATTTCCTCTCCTCCTAGCACTTGCTACTTGGGAAAAGAGAGCAACCCCCACCTCACTACAAACTCCTTTCAGGAGGTCTCTCTTAAGCCTCCTTTTTTCCAGACTAAACAACCAGCCAGCAAGAGACACAGCATTGCTCTCAGGGAGATGGGGTCATTCTTTGTTGTGCTCCACCCGCCAAAAAGTGCCCCAGGCTGCCATGAGGGATCTGGGGACCAAAACTCCTAATGAGTTTGCCCAAGATCCATTAGGGCTTAGACCAGTGCCGCAGCCCCTGCCCACGTGATTTACACGTGAGCCTCACACTGGCCCTGGATGTATGCAGGATGAGCTAAACTAGCGTACTCAGGCCTACAGAGCTGGTGTTCCCAGCTCTCTGAGTGCTATCAGCCCTTGGAAACAAAATTCTACAGCCCTGTTGATAAGGCCAGCTACTCAGACCCAGCATTGCCTCCTGCACCAGATGCAGACGTGGGGCACCCCGGTGTGGCTTGGGAGGCCCTCTGCACGGAGGGTTCCAGGTCAGGCAGAGACCAGCCCACAGGGCCATCCCCCCTGGAGTGGGGGTAAGCACAGGCAAGTCCTTATGTTCAGGAGCCTGAAACACTTCAGATCCATCCAGATTAACAGCAGATCTCCTTGACCCCAAAATATTCCCCTTCATTAAAGAAAAGAGGTCAGGGTATGCCTATAAATCATGATGCTGGGAAGTTGTCCGGATTGTCACCCTCAGCCTCCCTGGGGAGGATGCAGACACAGCTTGGGGAAGGTGTCCCTCTGCCTGCACACCCTGCCACCCCCATGGCTCTTACCTTACAAGCTACACGGTGTGGGCAGAACTTCCCAAAGCCCAGGGGAGGCTGGATACGTCTCAGCAGAGTCACTACATCCAAGTGTTTGATTCTGCCCCTGCAGGAAGCAACAAACTGCATCAGCAGCGTGGTGGTAGACACGGGGGACAGTGGTTTGGGCAGGGACTGAGTGGGTTCATCTGTGACGCCTGCCCCATGCTCCTGCAGTGGGCAAATCCCTACACTTCCCTATGCTCCTCCTGGAGAAAGCAGCTGTTCCCCATGGCACCAGACAGCAGATAAAGGTGTGGGATGGGAAGAGTTGGAAGCATCACCACGGCTGGATGAAGAGGGCACTGGAAGTCTCATGTCCTCAAATATTGTTATGGCTTGTATCAGCCCTGGAATACACTGGCAAAGCCACATGTACCTCTGAGATGCTTGGATCTAACTCTCAGCTCATGCTGTCACACGTGTCTCAGGGCAGCCTACCTCAGGCTCCCCATGGGCCATCCCCTCTGTGCCACTCACCCCCTGTCACTTACTTGGCCTCAGGGTCATACTCAGCCCAGATCCTTTTGAACTCATCCAGGTGATGGGGCCCAAGGATAGACCAGTCACGTGTGAGATAGTCAAAGTTGTCCATAATGACAGCCACAAAGAGGTTAATGATCTGAGGGCAGAGCAAGTGGGTAGTTAGGGCAGAGCCAAGCACTCAGCAGCTCCCCAGCACAGAAGGACAGCAACAGCCCTCAAGCATGGAGCTGGACAGTGCTGCCCACGGGCCCTGGACAGGGCCCCGGATAAAATGCAGGCAGACATGTTCAGGAGGAGAAAGGCCCTGGATTCCCCTGGAGCCAAGGGATGCTGTGGGTCACTCCATGCAGGAATGGGTCTCCCAGCCAATGAAAGGCAGGCATAGGGCATCTCTTCTCTCTCCACCCATGCAAGAGCCAACACAGACACATCTGTATGGCAGCACGTGGGGGATGTGGGAAGGAAGTAACAAGGGATCCTGGGCCCCATAGGAGTGAGGTGCCAGGTTTACAGCATGGCTGGGTAGATGGGCTGGGGGATGATGCCCCTAGAAAGAGGGCAGTCAGCCCCAGGAGATGCAAGTCTACCTCAACACCAGGGGCTGCCCAAAGCCTGAGTGGGGGTGCCAAAGGGAGCCCCGTGGGAGCCGGCATACCAGGAAGGCGCAGAGCATGTAGAAGCTGATGAAATAGAAGTAGGCAAAGCCTGTGCCACAGGTGTACTCCTCGCCCTCAGCAAAGTCTGACTCAGGGTCGCACAGCTTGCCATAGCTGCAGTCCAGCAGAATCTCCTGCCAAGCCTCGCCAGTTGCACATCTGGGGAGAGAGGATGCCTGCTGGTTCCTGCCTGTCCTGGACATGAGCTGGGCACGCAGAGACAGCTGTGGCCAGCCCACTGCACAGGGGAACAGGAGTGGTCAGGATCCTGGGCTTGCTGTGCTGCTTGGGGGGGCCTGCTATTGAAAGCTCCAAAGTGAAGTGTTTGGAGTCAAGGAAAGCCTTGGGCTGAGCTCTTGTTTCTCCTTGAGTTTCCTCACAATTGACAAATTAAAATCTAGTCTGTGAGAGAAACATTCAAATAGAAACCCTAAAGTGCAGCTCAGCCACACCAGGCAAACCAACAGCCACTCCTGAAACGCTTCCACTGCTGCAAGAGATTTTTCTACAGGGCAAAAAAGAAACCAACTACAGAAATCCTGGTCTCCCTCACTCCAAGCTGGTGGGCTCCCATGCCAAGTCTGAGCCTGGCTCCCTTCTGGAGCTGCTCACTCACCAAGACAAGACTGACCTGAAGAGCAACAGCACAGCTTGTGGAAAGGTTTGGAAGTTGTTGTTTCGGTTGATCTGGGTCCCATCCACCATGGCGATCTTCCCAAACATCTGTAAATCACATTGACAGTTGCCAGCATCCTTTCTCAGGCACTGACCACACTACAGACAACCCACGTCCCTGAGCTCCTCTTTGTCTTGCTTACTTGGCTTTGGGTGCTCTGAGGCTCATGATGTCCTTGGACATTCCCGCCTATGCTGAAAATGCCCCTGTCTATGCTGCACTTCATCTGGGCCAAACAGACAAGGTCTTATGAACCAGGCACAAGCACAGGTGACTGTGTGTCTAGGTTGTGCCGTTGACTCCAAAAGTGCAATTTGCTGTGTTTCTCAATTGCCCTAGCTGCAGCCTGGGGATGGGAGTAGGCTGCTGGGGCTGTAAGTATCCTTGGAGACCAGGGTAAAAGGGTCCCATCATGTGCAAAGTCCCAGGGAGTGCCTGGCAGAAGGCCAAATCCCTCTCCGACCCATCCCCCCAGATGCTATCAGGCTCAGGGCCTCTGTTCAAGAGCAAATCCCACCCTTGTGCCTCTCACCTGCATCCCAATCACAGCATAGATGAAAAAAAGCATCACAATCAGCAGGGCTACGTAGGGCAGAGCCTGTGACAAAAGAATCGTAGCTTGTGTGAGACACCAGCCCAGAATCAAGGCAACCCAGGGACAGGAGGTTCAGTCTGGAGCTACTACTGCATGAGGCCAGCATCCAGCCCTTCATGTAGGGAGAAGACAGCTTACTTTCTGCCTGTTCCTCTAACCACCTTCTCACTAGCCTCACTCTCCCTTTCTCATGTATGGGAGGCTTATGCCAACCTCCAAGAGAAGGTCTCAGCAGCTGGGATGAAGGCTGACCACAGCCCAGGGATGTCCAGGGCTGAGGAAGCTACCCAGGCTCAGGGGCTGCGTGCCGAGATGCTGCAGCATGCCCTTGAGCACCCAGTTGGTAGTAGAATAGAGCCCAGCCTTGCTGGGACAGGGGCTGAGGGGCCCAGGCAGGCCCTGCCTGTTTGCTCAGCCCAGCTCTGACACATGGTCATGTCAGACAGGGACCCCTCCACATCCTCCCACCCATACAGGAATGCTCTCCTACACAGCACAAGCCCCTGGCCCAGTCTCAGGCCAGCAGTTTGCCAGCACTGGAGCTTTCCTCGTCTGGCTGGTGAGGACAGACTGCTCGCCCAGCTAGCCTGAGGATCAGAGCATGCTGCCAGACCAGGGCATGTGCTTGTCTGGGAGGGGGGCACTGTTCCTCACATACCTGGAAGGACTTGATGAAGGTCCACAGGAGGGTCCTGACACCTTCCCCTCGGCTCAGCAGCTTCACCAACCGCATCACCCGGAAGAGTCGGAAGAAAGTGATGGAAACACGGGAGTTGTCATCGGAGTCCTGCAGGCAGAGCACAACACTTGGGGGCAGCGGGTACTTGTTGCCTCCAGGCAACAAGGGGGAGTGTGTGAGTGTGTGTGTGTGTGTGGGTGTGTGTGTGGGTGTGTGTGTGTGTGTCTCCAGGTCCTGGGAGGGGGAAGGGTAACAAGATTCCTCTTGTCAGGCACCAGTAATTGTCCTCAAAGTCCTTGCCTGTGTGGAGGACCAGACTGCAGAAGGCATGTGCTGGAACCAGCCTTCTGAGTTCATCTCCCCAGCCCCATTATCTCACATCTCTGCCCCCCAGGCTGCTCAGGATGTCTGGTTATAGGTATGAGAACAATCCTGTTAGCCAGGGGGATGGGACACTGCAGAAAGGCATGCTGTAACTCAGGCTGGGAGAGCTGTGCTGTTCACCTCATGCCAGACAGGGCCACCCCAGGACAGGCTCAGGTCCCTCCAGGCTCTCACCCAGGAAGTACCATATGGGCCGCTCCCACCTCAGGGCCTATTTGTAAAGTGAGCTGTAGGCCAGGCAGCAGGCACATGAAGGGTTAATGATGACTGTTTAAGCACCTGAAGGGTTGGTTTGAGAATGTCCCAGCAGGGCTTTCATGGACAAAAGGAGGGACTGAAGGCAGGGTGGCTCTGGGGGGATGCTGCCCAGTGTCACCCCTACTTGCAGTGATGCCTACTCTCTTGGGGTGGCTGCAAGCCCTCCGAGGGGCGAACAGCAATGTCTCAGGGCTGAGGACTCCAGGGTTCAGGACAGAACAGGCAGGCAGAAGGGGAGCCAGGAGGTACAGCTCCTGGGCTCAAAGGGCCAGGTTTTGTCTGGGAGCACCTGGGATGTTGGCAGTTGGAGATGCTCGGGACTTGGTCACCTGCTCCCTTGGTTTCTCCTGCGTGGCACAACCTCAGC